GTGGACCACTCAGAAAGGAGTAAGGTAACAAGAAAGGTGAGTCAGCTAGAACAATGGCCCTTAAAGTGTGGTACCCTGACCCACAGTGTCAGTATTACCTAGAAACTGGTTAGAAATATAATTGGACCCTACCAAATCAGACCTACTGAATCAGAACAACTACATCCAACCGATGCTGTTGTAAACTCAAGTTTGAGAACCACTGAGCTAGAAGCTGGTTGATTTCGTGCTCCCAATCACAAAGGAACTAGCATAAGGTCCTACACAGGAAGGGTCTTCCTTCCTACAAGTTAGGTAGGAAGGCCAGTTAGGTGGGAAGGCCTTGGGGGAAGACCCAAAAGGGCACTGGGCACTCCCATCCGTTTCTTTCCAACTCCACCACCACTGCCTGTGTCCCAGCACCATCATTGCTTATCCAGTCTGGTGCAAAAGACTATAATCAGGCTCACCCCTCCCATCTGGTGCTCTGTACTATATTCACCAGCAGAAAGAGTGATTTCAACAACTTTTTAAAAAAAATTTTTAGTTAACATACAGTGCAATATTGGTTTCTGGAGTAGAATTCAGTGATTCATCATTTACACGTAACACCCAGTGCTCATCACACACAACAGGTGCCCTCTTTAATCCCCATCACCCATTTAGCCCATCCCCCACCCACCTCCCTCCATCAACCCTCGGTTTGTTCTCTATCATTAAGAGTCTCTTATGGCTTGTTTCCCTCTCTCCTTTTTTTTTCCTTTAGAGGCCAAATGTCCATCAACTGATGACTGGATAAAGATATGGTAAAAAAAAAATATATATATATATATACATTTACAATGTATATTGTACAATACATATATATATACACACATATATATACATACATACATACATACATACACACAATGGAATATTACTCAGCCATCAAAAAGCGAAATCGTGCCTTTTGCAACAACGTGGATGGAGCTAGAGCGTATTATGCTAAGTGAAATAAGTCAGTCAGAGAAAGACAAATACCATATGATCTCACTCATATGTGGAGTTTAAGAAAGATTTCAACAACTTTTAACACTAGGTCACTATTCCCACTTAGACTCTCCAGTGGATTCCCATCACAAGGAATCAACTCTGATACCTTATCTTGGTCCACAAGGCCCTGCATGAGTGTCCCCTCATGTGTGGACCACTGCTGGCCTCCTTTATCTCACCTTTCCTTTGAGCACTTAGCTCTAGCATTGTCACTTATTCCTGTGTAGGGCCTTTGTGTTTGTTCTTTCTACCAAAATTCTCCCCTTGCTCTTTATATTTGTTATGGGCTCCTTCTTGCTCTTTAGATTTCAGCTTATATATTACCTCCACAAGAGGCCTTATCTGACACCCCCCCTCCAGTATAAAGTAAATTAATGAACACTCTCATGTATTAGCTAGTAATTTTGGACAAGTTAGTCTCCCTAAAGCTAATTTATTCATCCATAAAGTACAGTTCATAATAGCCCATGGGATTATGACAAATGAGATAAAGCTGGGAAAGGGTCACTCAGTTGTTCATCCCCCCCTATGAGGAAGGTCATCCTCATGGTCACCTCCAAGTCTAGGTCTTTTTGTCTTCTCATCACTCGTGCAAATTTTGGCCGGCCTTTCATGTTCAGTTCTCCCTCACTCCAAGGTATCTTATATTCCACTGCCAGCTTAATAATCTTCAAACTCCATTTAAGAAAAAAGTCTTACCTTACTCCTTTAAGAATGTGAGTCCCTCTGAAATCGCCCCACTATGGCACCACATTCATTACTTCAGCTCTTAGGAATTCAAACAGTACTGCATCCAGGCTGGAGGACCTTTCAGATGCCACAAAGGCAGATTGAGGCATCTTTGTTTCCTGGGTGCAGGTTTGTCGTTTTTATTGTTTACCTACATACATTATTCTGTTCATTAAGGGAAAAAAGAAGGTGTCAGTTGAAATTGGCTTCTCTCTTGCAATGGGCTGCAGAGTCAGTTCCCCTTAAGGGAGGTTGTTGGGATGGTGTGCTCAGGGATGAAGGCCATCAATGAAGCAGAATCTATGTGGCCAGGAAGGTGTGTTCAGGTGGGAAAAGAGCTCTGACTGGAATATCAAGGGAGAACAAAAATGTTCCCCAAGGAGTGTATGACATAGTTTCCGAGAGACTGAGGGTGAGTACAGCTAATGTGCCCCTGACACTCAATGCTTATTCAATAGGACTGCAGTGAAGGAAACGGAACAGGACCCTAAAGAAAGCAGCATTTTGAAAGAGCTGTGAGAGCAGTTTGAAACAAATTTAGGAGGAAAGTGTAATGATGTCAAATGTATGCTAATTTGGGCCTTATTTTTTCTTTTTAGAGAGAGAGAGTGCACATGCATGTGAATATGGTTGGGTGGGCAGAGAGAGAGAGACAATACCGAGCAGGCTCCATGCTCAGCACAAGCCTGACCCCGATGTGGGGCTCAGTCCCACGACCCTGAGATCATGACCTGAGTAGAAATCAAGAGTCTGAAGCTTAACCAACTGAGCCACCCGGGTGTCTCCCTGGGGCTTTTTTTTTTTTTTTTTTTAAGGAAGAACGAGAAATGTTTTCAATATTATTAGGTGAATGTAGCCTTAACTGAATGGAAAAGACTTCTTCGGGCTTAAGTTATAATAGACACTCAGCTGCCAGAATTGTTTTCAGGAGGTTGCAGTACTTGTTCTAAATCCTTACAGTCATAAATCAGAAACCTGGATCAGGCACAGAACCATAAATCCTCTGCTCTGGAGCTCCTGAATCTTCAATGTGTATAGGAATCACCTGGGCAATCTTCTTCAAATGCAGATTCTGATCTGGTAGGACTGGGGCGAGGCCCGAGAGTTTTCCCAAGTATAACATGCTCCAGACAATGCTGATGGTCCAAGGACCTCCCTTTGAAATGAAAGTGTCTAGTTTAACCTCTTCATTTCCTGCAAGAGAGACTAAGGCCCAGAGAAGGAAAGTGTCTTGCCCTTGCTTCTCACCTTGATATAATAGCGAGAATTCCCTTGGAAACCAAATGCCACACAGAGCTACCTGTGAAGCGGTGGCGGCCGAGGGCACGTGGGCAGCTTAGATGGTACCCAGGGCAAAACAGGACAGAGTCTGGAAGAATGAAGAAGAGGTGGAGCCTGAGTGTCACCGGCCAACAAGGTCATGAGAAGGCCTATAGCAGGTATATTTAAATCTCTGACACAAGCAAAAGAGAATGGGATTAACAGATAATGGCTTTAACATTCTTTACTATAATTTTAAAATTAGTAGGCAAACAGGGTTGATGTCAGGGAGATATTTTTAGGCAAGGGGCCCTTTCAGCACCCCTCACATGATGTCAGCAACTAACTATTTTGCCTCCTCATGTGGCTGGCCCAGATGATAATTATTTATTCCTGAGCTTTAACTTCAGTGGAAGTGACAAGGTCAAAAGTTAAAGATCAGAGATATTCTTTAACTCTTAATCTGTTACCCAGCCAATTAATTAGTTACTTTAATTATATATTGTTAAATTGTTCCCCTGTTATGGCAATATTTAATTCTAAGGAAAGAAGATGTATAAAGTGAAATACTAAAATAATCCCTTTGCCTGGAGATTTTAACACAACCGGTTAGTTGGCTGACGATAATTCCCACATCTGGGTCCATAATCCTGGGCTTCTGGGCTATGATTCCAGCATTTTCATTATACCCTAGTTAATTCTCATATCTGGTGCTTCTGATATTAGTATCAGTATTTTAAATTACTGCTTTGTATTGGCCACGAAAGTGCTCATTAGACAGATTATCTAGGGGTAGCTGTGAGTGTGCCTGTCTGCTTAGCTCTCCTAAATCAACATGCCCCAGTCTCGCTAGGAGAGCATCCCAGCATATACCTTGAAGATCTTGTGCCATGGAAACCCTGACAAAATTAAATGAAGTGAGGCAGTGATACACAATGCCCTGTGCCTAGCAAACCAGCATACGTGTCACCTAGACATCAACCCAGTTACGGGATGCGTCTGGAGGTTACAGAGCAGGAAGGAAGGAATCCCGGTGATAGGGTATCTGGGTAGGTCTCCTTTGACTTGGCATTGGTGCCTTTAGCCTGTAGACCGCAAAGTTCAGAGTGTACAGAATCCCTTTTGCTGCATAGGCCACTTGCTAGGATGGTCCTTAGCTGAACTATGAACACTAAAGCGAGGCCCAGAGAGAAACAAAAAAATAAACACTTTCCCCACAATTTATTTGTGCATGCAACACTATGCAGTTATTTCAAAAACTAGAAATAACCTACATTTTAAAGCTTCCCATGCCTCAAGTATCATTAATCATTTTCCGTTTGTCCCTCTGGACATGCAAGCTTCAAGTTTGTAACAATTTTTTGGTTTGCATGCAAAAGCCAGCCTCCTCCCTAAGGAGGAGAAAACCACATTTAGGGAATATTGTTAGAGAAAAACAGGTCTTAGGCTCTACAGACAGAGTTTGAATAGTACACGCAGTGAATAAAACTGTGCTCCGTTAACCACTAGTGTGACACAAGGGATGGAATTTAAGGTACATAAAATGGTCAACGTACGCAAGAATGACTTGCAGTTAACACAGCCAACGTTGACTGGTGAAAAGATCACAGCATTTGGATTTTAAAAAGTAGAAATCCTGGGTTCTAGCCCTTCCATCTATTTCCTCACCACCTCCTCCACCCTCCCCTAAGCCCCCACCACCACTGGGTAACTTCAGAGACCTCACATAGCCCCTTTTGTTGGTTGTAAAGGAAAGAATGTAGGCTGCCGGAAAGCAGGGGATTTCTTCCTGCTCCAAGATTTTAGATTTAAAACAAGAGTTTACATATGGTTGGGTCTCATTCTCAGAGCCAACCGCTTTCTCCACCACAGGTAACTAATTTGCTTAACCATCTTCTTGCTCAGAGCAAAAAGGTGACGTGCAGCTCAGCCTCTGTCTCCACGTTCACCACTCCAAATGTCTCCTTGGCGCACCTGCTCACGTTTGAAAAGCTTACCTTAATGGCACGGGCTGAGTCAGCATCTGCTGCACCTGTGTCCCTTGACTGTGAGCAAGCCGATCGCAGGAAGCGGCTGGGGGTGCCTCAGTCAGCTGCCGCAGAGGACAGAGTTCTGTTGAGGAGGCAGGGGAAGCAGAGAAAACTTCAACAGAAATAGTTCAAGTGTTTCGAAGTTAAAAATAAAACTATATCACAAGGGGCAATGTGACCAGGCTCAGCTTACGATTTTTTTCTTTCCCCCGTATTTATCAACACTTGGGTCTCCACTGGAGTAGCATTTAGCAGGGGAAGCCGGAAGGGAAGTGAGCTTTTACATCAATAGAGTTTCTTTCCCTTGAGGAAGGGGGAAAATCCATTTAAGAAGGATCATTTTCAAGGCCAGAGTGGCCTCTCAGACTCTTGTGCGTGCAGTCAGCAGATCCAGCTGTGCTCGCTGTGGCTGGTGGAGCCTTTAGGCCAGGAGGCTGCTCTAATTATAACCATGCTTTTCACCTAAACCCATCACTGGCTGAAGCAGCAACTTGTGCAAGTGACATGCGGTCCTGTTTCTGTTTCTCCTATTTCTTGTCATGACAAGTAAGTGGCTGTCCTCTCCTGGCCCTCTTCTTCCCCCCGTGGCAGGGAAAGGGAGGGTTTGTAAATCAGAAATCAGGCGCAGAGTGAGTCCAGTGTGAGAGAATTAGAGGCGGTTAGGAGCCTCAGCTTTCACTTAGTCCAACTGCCTTTTTTTACAGATGAGGAACCATAGGGTTTAGAGAAGTAAATTGTCCATTCAAGGTCACACAGCTGGCTAGTGGAGGAGCCAGGGGAAAGATTCGGGTCTTTTTTTTTTTTTTTCCTTCTTCTTAAAGAGAGAGAGGAAAAGAGGGAGAGAGAGAATCCCAAGCAGACACCTCTCTGAGCCCAGAGCCAACACCAGGTTCAGTCTCAGGACCCTGACATCATGACCTGTGTGGAAACCAACAGTCCGATGCTTAACCGGCTGCGCCACCCGGGCACCCTGACTCGGTTCTTTTAACTCCGAGTCTGGTGCTCTTCTTTACCTCCTCTTCAAAGAAACTCTTTCAGCTATCTTTTGAGGAAAGAAAATATATAATCCTGGCTTTGCTAATCTATGTATGTGACTGAGTTACTTACCCACTCTCTACCTCAGTTTTCTCAGTTGTGAAAAGGGGATGATAATACTTGGTGTGACTATGTGTTAATAAGCTAACACATTAATGCATTAATATATGTAAACCACATGAATGATGTCAGCACGTACCAAGTGTTCACCAATGCTGTTATTTGAATATATGGACTGAAAACAGGTACTGAATTCTGGTGCAGTTAACAGACACTGAATTCCCCTTTTTCCTCGATTCTTCCATGCATATATGTCTATGTAGGTAAACTTGTTTGGGGTGAACAACTAGCAGTTGAAAATTATAAAAGTTTTACATGTTGATCTTGTATCCTGACACTTTGCTGAACTTGTTTATTAGTTCTAATAGTTTTCTTATGGATTCCTTAGGATTTTCTATATGCAGAATCATGCCATCTGTGAATAGAGGTATTTTTACTTCTTCCTTTCTAATTTAGATGCCTTTTATTTCCTTTTCTTGCTTGACTGCACTACGTAGAACTTTCAGCACCATACTGAACAAGAGTGGGGAGAGTAGCCATCCCAAATTTGTTCCCTGTTTTTGATCTTAGGGGAGAAGCATTCAGTCTTCTGCCATTAAGTGTGCTGTTACCCTTGGATTTCTGTAGATGGCCTTTATCAAGTTGCAGAAGTTGGAAAGTTTGTCCTAGTTTGTTGAGTGCCTTTTTCATGAAAGGGTGAGGAATTCTGTCAAATGTTTTTCTGTGCCTGTTAAGTGATCCTGTGGTTTTGCCGTTTATTCTATTAATATAGTATATTACTTTAATTGATTTTTGTATGTTGAATCAACTTTGCATTTCTAGATCAACCCCACTTGGTCTGGCATATAATCCTTTTTATGTGTTCCTGGATTTGGTATTCTAGTAGTTTGTGGAGGATTTTTACATCTTTATTCATAAGGGATATTACTCTATCATTTTTTTTATGATGTCTTCATTCAGCTTTGGTATCAGGGTAATGTAGTCTCATAGCATGAGTTAGGAAGTGTTCTCTTCTGGTTTTCTTTGGAAAGTTTGTGAAAGATTGTTGTTAATTCTTTAAATGGCGGAATTTAGCAGTGAGGCCATCTAGGCCTGGACCTTTCTTTGTGGGAAGTTTTAGATTATTAACTTAATCTCTTTACATGTTAAAACTCTGTTTACAATATTTCTATTTCTTCTTGAGTCAAATTTGATATTTTGTGTCTTCCTAGGAATTTGTCCATTTCATCTAAGTTATCTAATTTGTTATAAAAATTATAAAAATTACACATTCATAATATTCCTTTACAGTGCTTTTTATTTCTGTAAGGCTGGTAGTTATATCTCATCTTTAATTTATGATTCTAGTAATTTGAATGATTCTAGTAATTTGAGGCATCTTTTTTTTTGGTCAGTCTAGCTAAAGGTTTATCATTTTGTTGATCTTTTCAAAGAACTAGCTTTTTTTTCCTTTCAATTATTTAAACATTATTTGAGTATGGTTGACACACAATGTTACATTAATTTCAGGTGTACAACATAGCGATTTAACATCTGTATATGTTATGCTGTGTACGCTCAAGTTTAGCTGCCAGGTCTCACTCTACCATTGCTATTACAGTAGTGTTGACTATATTCCTTCTGCTGTGCCTTTTATTCCCATTACTCAGTCGTTCTGTAACTGGAAGCTTGTATCTCCCACTCTCCTTCACCCATTTTTCCCGTGCCCCCCCCCCCGGCAATCATCAGTTTGTTCTCTGTATTTATAGGTTTTGTTTTTTGTTTGTTCATTTGTTTTGTTTTTTATATTCCACATATAAGTGAAATCTTATGGTATTTGTCTTTTGCCACAGCATGGATGGGCCTAAAGGGTATTATGCTAAATGAAACGTCAGGTTGAGAAAGAACTAGCTTCTGATTTCATTGATTTGCTGTATTTTTTTTTATTCTCTATTTTATTTATTTCTGCTCTAGTCTTTATTTCCTTCCTTCTGCTTGCCTTGGACCTAGTTTGCTTTTTCTTGTTTCTTGCTTAGTTGTTTTCCTTATTTCTAAAGGGATAAATTTATTGGTTTGAGGACAAATCTATGGAGACTGTAAAAGTTTCAGTGGTTACTAGGGTTTAGAGGAGAGGGAGGGATAAATAGGTAGAACACAGAGAATTTTTAGGGCAGTGAAATTATCCTGTATGATACTATAATGATGGATTCATGTCGTTATACATTTGCCAAAATCCATATAATGTACAACACCAGAGTAAGCCCTAATGTAAGCTATGGACTTTTGGTGATGATGTGTCAATATAGGTTTATCAATTGTAACAAATGTACCCCTCTTGATAGTGGAGGAGGCTATGTATATGTGGGTGCAGGGAGTATATGGGATATCTCTGTACCTTCTGCTCAATTTTGCTGTGAACCTAAAACTGCTCTAAAAAATAAAGACCATTTAAAAAAATCAAAAGTAAAAAAAAAAAAGACACAAAAAAATCACAACCTAAAGGCCAATGTTTCTCTCCTAGGTCTGCAGTCTTGCCCTGCAAAATCCCTCTGCAATGACCCAGAATGTGATAGGTAACAGAGATGTGCAAACCTGCTATGCTACTGTCTCTGTTAGTTTTCCTGAGTAAATATAAATCCAGTTATTATTATTGTTATATGATGTGTACTACCAGGTTATTCACATAATTTCTTCCATGATTTATTAATTACTTAGAAATGTACTCTTTAATTTCTAAATGGAGACAGAAGTTGAAGTTTCTTCTAATTAAATTGCCTTATGATTTAAAAAATGCTTATATGTTATTGGTTCATTCGAGTTTGTTAAGCTATGCTCTGTGGTCTAGTACATGATCATTATGTGCTTGAAAATAATGTGTATTCTCTGCCAGTTGGATGAAGAAATCTACTTACTTCTCTTAAGTCAAGCTTCTTAACTGTATAGCATATGGAATTTTCATCTGTTTGACTTATCAATTGTTGAGTGTTGTATTAAGATGTTCCATTATGATTATATGTTGGTTAAGTTTCCCCAAGAATTTTGTTAACTTTTCTTCATATGTCTTGGGAATATGTTGTTAAATATATATAAATTCACAATTATTATATTTTTCAGGTTAATTGTTCCTTTTGTCCTTGTCTAATATACTTTTACTTCTAACTGTTTTGCTTTAAAGTTTAACCTGGTAGATATTAATATAATTATGCGAGCTTCCTTCCTATTTAAAAATAAAGGTTATTGATTTGAGATTCCAGTTTTTAAAACCTAGCCTTTTGCAATTATAAATTTCTAAGTACTGATTCAGTTTTGTCTCATAAGTTTTTGTATGTTGTGTTTTTGTTTTCATTCATCTCTGAGTATTTCCTAATTGTCCTTGTGATTTTGTCTTTACCTATTGGTTATTTAGGAGTGTGCTTTTTAATATTCATGTATTTGGTAATTTTGTGAATTTCTTCTCTTTTCTTCTGTTGATTTTTATTTTCATTCCATTGAATTTGGAGAATACACTTTATGATTACAATCCTCTTAAATTTATTATTTGATGGCTTCAAAAGCCTTTTATCCACAACATCTCCTATGTCCTTTATTCAATTCCTAGGTACATATTTATTTTTCATTGAGAGGTATTTGTTTTATTATGTTTTATTTCATTATTGATTTTGAGAAATGCTATTAATTTTGTAAGTTGATCATGTACTGGAAAATCTGCTGAACAGTAATTCTAAAAGTTTGACAGTTGATTTTGTCAATTTTCCTAGATGATCATCTCATCTTCAAAATGTTTTATTTCTTTCTATGCCAGTTCTGACGTTTCTTACTATTTATGGACTCATACTATATTAAAACTAATGGTGATGGTGATTTCCGTTTAAATTTTGACTGAAAATATCTTTTAGAAAACCCCAGTCCCGAAAGATTGGGAAAAAATATGACTTTATATCCTGTTCCCATTAAAGGTGGATGACCGACCCCAAACCCTGCTGTTGACCCTCTTTTA